TATTTTCAAATTATTTTCAAAATATTTTGAAATTAAACATTAACAACCTGTTAGTTATATAAAGCTGATATAACTATTATTAAAATTATAAATTATGTAACATAAATTTTTTCTTTTTAAACTATTATTTTTTGCGAAAAAAATAAATTAATAAATATAAACGAAGACATTGCAAGAGCTATATTGCTTTAAGTGTTAATTCAAGCAAAAAAATTAAGAGTTACAACCATAAATAAAGTTATTCTTTTAAATAACAAAATTAATTCTATATAAAATGTTGTTTAAAGTTTATAATAATTGATTTTTTTTTTTTTTTGATTAAGTCAATCATTATAACAAAATTTAAAATATCAAAAGTGGCGTTAATATAAAATAAAATTTAACGTGTACTATTTTTTAGTTAACAATTTTTTGTTTTGCTTTTTATTTTATTTTTTAAACTTGGTAATTATTTTTGTTATTGTTTGTTATGAGAAAATGTCTAAATAAATATTCATTCTATTGCAAGAAGAAAAATAAACATTTTTTTATTGTTTATTTTATGGTTTTTTTTTGTGTTTTTTTTTTTTAATAAGTGTCGTATAACATCTTTTTTTGCTGAACATTTTTTATGGAAAATTTAAAATAATAAAAGTAAAATTTTCTTAATTATATTTGTAAATCTGCGAATATCAAACATAATTTTTATGCAAACTTTTTTTTGTAACCATGATTAAAACTTACAAAGGGGCTGTCCATTAATTACGTCAACAAGTTTTTACCTCCCCTCCTCCCCCTTATCAACAATTTGTCAAATTTCCAGAGACCCCCCTTATAAAATTACGGCAACTTTTGATTAACCCACACCTCTATACAAAGAAATTACGCTACTAACTCAGCTTAATTTTCCGTTAATTAAGCTATGAAACTCAAAAAAAAAAGAAAAATTGTTGACATCAACTTTAATTGACCTCCTCCTTCCCCCGTGTCAACAATTGTCAAAAAAGTTCAGACCCCTTCCCTCCTATTTTGTTGACATAATTAATGGACAACCCCAAAGTAGTTTTTCTAATGTTAATTGCTTATTTTATTTTACTGCTTAAACAATATTATTAAATTTAAATATTAAAAATTGATAAAGTGACTGAAATGGTTTACTGCTTACGTTAGATAGCTTTGGGCATACATAAATGCCTACTGCAAAGTTAACATCTATTTAGATTGCTTCTTTATATAGGCATAATTGCTAAAATATAATATATTATAAAAACTATTTAAAAAAAAATCATAGCAAATAACTGTGAGATGCATGATATCAATCCTCTCTGGTGTCTCCAGAGGATTGATAACATAAAATACTTTTTAAGGCTAATTGTATAATTTTAAAACAAACTTTAATTTAAACAAAATCTAAATTTAAAACAAAATTTTGCAGAAGCTTTTTTAGTTAAAATGGTTCAACCCATGGGTAGAAGCAATTATTTAGAATCAGATACTTTAATTGAAATGTTAATTGATTTTTACTGTGATACTATCACTAGAAGAATCATTATCTAGGTTTATCCTCCTTGTGATAGTATCATCTCCAAACAATACCCATAATAAAATTGGAAGTTTTTAAATCAAGGTTTTCCTATTCTTAGAAGCTTTAGGTGCCCAATATAAAATTATTTTAAAGTTATGACTATGAAATTTGCTGATTTAGAAAATTAAAGTAAACTAATGCTTACTTAACTCTTACCAGCACTTAAAAAAAAATTGAATACTTTATGTCTGATTTGTCAATTTTTAAAACAGTACAGATATCACTAATTAATTTTTATTTAAATATTATCTATATAAATATTTAATAAACAAAGAATGAATGGTATAAGTGCCATCTAAGAATAAATTAAATTTTGGGTAATTCTATGTCAAATGACCCAGAATTTTTAAAATCACCCTATATCTCAGATTTTGCTGGTTTTTTACAGTTGAGAGTGCTTAGTAAAATAAGAATTCCTTGAAAATTTTAACTTAATAATTTAAAATTTAAATCCAAGAAGATCCTGAAATATGACCATTATACTTTCAACAATGTTGGTCAGGCCCCTCATTCCCCCTCAGAATTGCAACATTCAAAGGTTTTAAAAAGGTATTTAAAGTAACATAATTTTAAAAATATTAAATTTTTTTACTTGAAAATTTGTAACTTTTAATCCAATAAAATGATCAGAAAGGTAAAAAATTATTTAAAGTACCTGTATTTATCAATTTAAATAAATTTAGGCAATTTTTTATATACCTGATTTTAATGGTCAAGAAACTCATGTGTGTCAAAAAAATTTATATTGCATATCATTCTATATTCATTGATCTTTCAAAAAAATACAAAGATTTTGATCTGCAAGTATATGGATTTCCATATATGGGTAATGGGGCATGGGGTCTCCACTTTGTTGAAGCGGTGTATTGCAATTGATTTTTCACTACCTTCCAGACTAGCTGGAGCTCTAAAACTTTTTTCATTTCTGTAGTGCAGATGAACGTGCGTGTTAAAGATATTTTCAGTGTCTAAGACACCATGGGAGGGGGCTAGATCATAGGCTCAACTTTTTTTGTAGTGAAATCTTGCGATAGATTTTGCACTTCTTTTTAGACAAACTGGAACTCTAAAAATTTTAGTACTTGTGTAGTCCTGATGAATGTATGTTAAAGTTTTTTCCAGATCAGATGACCAGAGAACTGAGGCACTGGGGGAGAGGCCCCACTTTAAAAAAAAAAATTTGTTTTGCATTATAAATAAAGTAAAGATAACTTTGAAAATATTGTTTTCAAAAAAAAAATTTGGTTTATATTTGTTCCATTCAGTTTTAAAAGACACACAGAATTGTGCACCACTTTGAAAAAGGTTTTCAGCTAGGTAGAACAATCCCTGAAACTACAAGCTATCATTATTTAACCCAGAATTTATTGATACTGTTAGCTTTGCAACTAACAGATGGTTAGAGCGTTAAAGGAAAAGTTAAAACCCGGACTGTTGAACAATACAAGTTCAAATCCCGCCACCGCCAACTCAGCGCTTGAGTAGTACTTCGGTACGCAAAAATGTTGGCCAATAACGGACGCTACTTTGGATTAGTCTTAATGACTATTTGTGGCTGTTCCTATGCTAAGCCAACAATATCTTTGGATATAAGAACATTGTATAAAAAAATATAGCATGAAAACTCAAATAAATAAATAACAGGCATGTTTTCTTTTTCTAGTATTCAAAGTATTTAACCTAACCAGCAAATTAACATCAATAAACTGAAATTTGGTGAACTTATTCTGTGTAAATATAATACTTTTCATTGGATTGGTATGATAAATAAATTGACAATATTGAGCAAAATGTTATGGTAACATTTACGCATCCACACGGTATTTTTTACAAACTTTTTTAACCATCTAAAGCAAATGAGTGTTGGGTTCCAATTAATAATAATATAATAATATACAATATTGTTGAGATTTAATGCTCTGTTAAATCTTTTACAGACAGTTAAAGATAGTCAATTAAGTCTAGTTTAGCTTTAAGTAAGTTGAGATTTAACTTCCACTGTTTCAATTGGTAAATTATTCCAGAACTTGACTGTGCGATTTGTAAAAAAACCTTCACGATTTCGATTTAAATATTTCTTATCGGTGAATAAATTATGTTTATTACCTCGAATGTTTAAACACGGACCAGAAGAATTTAAAGAGTACAAATGTTGAGGGGGTAGTTTCCAATTAACTGCATAATTTGTATCATCGATGAACCTGTAACAATAACTGGACGTATGTATCTTAACTCAATCTTGATATATTTTTACTTTATATTTTAGTTTTTTTTTGTTTTTTTAAATAATTAAATAAAACGGAACAAGTGAAAATTTTTGAAGACAATATTTTCAAAGTTATTATTACATTATTGAAAATGCTAAAAGTTTCAGAGCTCTAGCTAGTTTGAAAGGTAGTGAAAAATCAATTGCATTAAACTGCTAAAAAAAAGTGGAGACCCCATATATGGAAATACTATATATTTCCATATATTATCCATATATGGAAATCCATATACTTGCAGATCAAAAACTTTATATTTTTTGAAAGACAATTAAATATAGTGTGTAAACTTTTTTTTAATATCATCTAGGCCACATGAGTTTCTTGAGCATTAAAAAACAGATATATAAAAATTTGCCTAAATTTATTTAGTTGATAACTGCAGGTGCTTAATAATAATTTTTTACACTTCTGATCATTTCATTGAATTCATCACCCCCAAAAATAGCCACTTAAAAATTAAAAATTACAGAGTAAAAAAATCAAATATTTTTAAAGTTATGTGACTTAAACCTACAAATAAATGTTGCATATCAGAGGGGACAAAAGGGGCATAGCCAATACCTGCAAAAATAAAACAGTCATTTCAGAATCTTCTTGGAGCCAGAGGCTAAAATTTTCAAGGAATTCTTATTTTACTAAGCACTCTCAACTGTATAAAACTCAGCAAAATCTAAGATGTATGGTGACATAGGTCATTTAACATAAAATTACCCTATTGAAACACGAAACATACAGAACAGAAAGAAACACAACTTAAACTGCTTAAAACTGCTTAGAATAAGCTGCTTATAAGCATTTTAAATAAAAAACTCTATTTAAAATGCTTTTAAGCAATTTAAATAAATGTAAGAACATAATAAACAAAAATTCACACAATGGAATAGAGCTCTTTCATTGTAAAAATAGTAAGGTAAAGTCACTTAGATTTCATAGTGAAGCTATTATTACTGTCATTGGAATTTCTACTATATAAATAAAAAATATTTAAATATTCTTCTTTTAACATAAGCTGGTAAAATTTATAAAATGCTAAAATTTTAAAAAAACAGAATTTTGTAAAAAAAAAAAAGGAAAGGTAAAAAACATAATTAATTTGTAACTCAGTTATATAACAAATATTCAATTGTAAATCATTATTTTTTTAATTCAATATTTATAATTATACATACCACTATTTGCTGTAGCAATTTTTTCATCAATGATTTTAATAGTTTCATGATAATTTTCTTTCTGATCTTCAGGATGTGAATCTATATGTAAAACACTTCCACTGTGTGTATCCGCTAAGTTTCTATCATATAGATTGTTCACAGAGGTCATACTTGTCTAGAAATGTCATTAAAAGTTTTAAGAAAAATATATTAATGAAACATTTGGTAATATTATGAGCAATTTAATTGCTATTACAATTTTTAAAATTGTTTATGATAATTTAAATTAACTTATTATATTTAACATATATACTTAACATTGGTTTTAATAATGTAAACCTATTAATACTTTATAAGATATATACATATATATACACATATATATATATATATATATATATATATATATATATATATATATATATATATATATATATATATATATATATATATAAATGTAAGATATAATTATATATATATACATATATATATATATATATATATATATATATATATATATATATATATATATATATATATATATATACATATATATATATATATTTATGTATATATATATATATGTATATATATATATATATATATATACACATATATATATATGTGTGTGTGTGTGTGTGTGTGTATCTTATATATAAAGATACATAAATAAATAGATAGATATATCTAAGATATAAATATACAACAATATATATTACAAATAATTATATATATATTACAATAATATATAATACATTATAAATAATACTATAATAAATATAATATAACTAATAATAACATTAAGTCTTTATGGTATTTAAAGAAATGCCCTCTTTAGGAAAATGTTTTCCACTCGGTAAAAACTTAAACAGTTTTTACCAAGTGGAAAACATTTTCCTCTGTTTATCTTGTCAATACTGTGCATAAGTTTGTATAATGCTATCATATCTCCCCTGTTTTCTACTCTCAGTTAGGGCTGTCAAGCCTAAGGCAATAAGTCAATCTTCATATTAAAGACTGCTAATTGATGAAACAATTTTACTTGGTCTGTGTTCTACTTTTTAATCATACTACAGTCTCCTTTTATAAAAGGAGACCAAACTAGAATTGCAAATTCAATAAGTCAAATTCAAGAGAGAATGAATGTTTTTTAGAGATCTTATAAGTTAACAATCAAAACTTGTAAATGATTAATCCCAGCTTTTGATTTATTTTGCCAACTGTATTAGTTACTTGATCTTTCTATTTAAGATTTGTAAAAAATTATTTCTCTATTTAAATTCAGAATAATGAAGTTGAATAACAATTAATGAAAAGTTGAAAAAATTGTTCAAATTTTTTTTTCAAAAAGTGCACAATAAAATCTCTTATTCTTTTCCATTTACTTATATTCTTAAAACTTATAAAAATTTGAGGTGATTTGAAGTATTTTGAGAGGTTGCACAAAATCCTTAAACATCAAACAGGTGCCTAATACTATCAGAAATTTGTTTTTTCAAGAGCATATAATATTGGGTCTCAAAAGAAGCAAAATTTTATATAAAAATTTAAAAATAATCATTTGCATATAAGAACATGAAACCTGATAGACTTGGTATAGATCCGAACTTACCAAATGCAGCAAAAACATACAACAATTGGTTAAGAACATTTTACAATTTTATATGTACACTTGATGATAACTTCATCAAGCTTGTGAACCCCAATCTATTACTGTGAACCCCAATCTATTACTGAAGCGAGATCGGATTCAAGATCAGCTGCTTGTTCTAGGCGATCGAAAAGAGAAGACTTTTTGTCAAGACAGGAGTATAAAGTTGAGTCATCAGCAAAAGAGCTACTTTAGATGAAAGGTTGTCAGGAAGATCGTTTATGTAGATAAGAAACAAAACAGGGCCCAGGATGGAACCTTGGGGAACCCCAGAAGTTACTGGAAATAAAGAAGAGTGTTGGCCTTCAAGAATGACTTTAATAAACGGGTTAGAAAGAAATGATTTGATAATCTCAAAAACTTTCCCAGAAACACTATATGAAGCGAGCTTACGGAGAAGACCAGCATGCCAAACTTTGTCGAAAACTTTAGATATGTTGAGAGCAATAGCCCTAGCCTCACCGCCTCTATCTAATGCATGATAAAATCTTTCAGTTACAGCAGTTAGCAAGTCGGTCGTAGAGCGAGAGGATCGAAAACCGTATTGATTGTCTGACAGTGGTTTATTTGACTCAAGATGAGATGTGAGGAATTTGTTGATCAAAGACTCAAAGACCTTGCTAATAACAGAAAGAAGACTGATCGGACGATAATTGAAGGGGTCAGAATTTTCTCCAGATTTTTTGAATATTGGAACTACAGATGCCATTTTACAACAAGCAGGAAAACAAGACTCAGTCAAACACTTGTTAAATAGTTTAGAGAGAATTGAAGAAAATTCTGGAGAACAATTCTGCAAGACTGTGACAGGAATGTTGTCTGGACCACAAGCTGTAGACGAGTTTAATTGAGATATGACTTTAGCAACAGAAGCCGGAGTGATTTGAATTTCTAACAATGGGTCAACCTGTTTGACTGGAATGGAAGGAAGAGAATGTCCATAAGATTCAATAGTGGAATTAGAAGAAAAGTTCTTTGCAAATAGTTCTGCCTTATCCTTGGGAGAGGTAATAAGATCAGTCCCATGAATGAGAGATGGAATGTTAGATCTACCCTTGTTAATAATGCTGTTGAAGATTTTCCAAAAGTCTTTAGAGCCTAACTTCTGTGATAAGATGCGAGATTTAGTGAACTGAGAATAATGGAGTTTAGCATCAGAAAGCACCTTTTTACATCGATTTCTTGCAATAATAAATAGCTGTTTGTTCTTAAGAGAGTTGTTCTTTTGAAAAAGATGAAAAAAATGATTAGGATTGAATATAGCAGCTGCACAAGAAGGAGAAAACCATGGAGTAGAATGAAGCTTGACTTGAAACCGACAAGAAGGAATAAAAGCTTCCATTCCAGCCTGAATCCAGGAGGTTATGTAGGAGGCGCATTTATCAGCTGAGAGAGAAAAAACATCAGGGTTAGGGTTAGGGTCAGTTTCTGTTGCTATTCTTAAAATTGATGATGATTACTTCTCTGCCACCATATCAGCTTCAGCAAACTCTCTCTTCAGAGTCAGTCATAACATCAATATAAATAATAAGTTTAAAGCAGAAGCCTTAATTGATAGTGGAAATACAAATAAAAGTTTCATTAACAAAAAACTAGTGGTTCTACTCAATTTAGATGTTATTTATTAACAGAGTGTAATCAGAATGGCATCAGCTTCTTTATTAGCTAAATCAGATGGATATTGTTATGTTTCAATAACTCTTCAAAACAAAATCTATAACAAAAGTCAAGTTGCATGTGCTAGATAACTTATGTATAGATATTATTATACGCACAGATTTTCAAGAGTTGCATGAGAATATTCATATGGTGGGAAAAGGCAACCCATAACGTTTGCAGATTTAACAACAATGAAAACCAAACCTCCTGAATTGTTTGCTAATCTCAGCATACTACCAAATACCTTTATCTAAAAGAGATTGACAATATACTGCTTTGAGGCAGACAATATGTGGTGGCAATATACTAGAATGCCTTTTGGAGTTACCAATAGATGTTTTCAATGCAAAATAGATGACTTTGTTAAAACATATGAACTAACTGACTGTTTTTCTTTAAATGATAATATTACAATATGTGGTAATAGGCAAAAAGAACATGATGAAAATCTGCTTAAGTTCAGATTAGAAGTGATTGATGTTGGAATTACATTAAATAAAGAGTGTATTAACAGAGTGTATCAACAGAGACCTTTGATTTTTTAGGTTACCGTATATCTTATGGCACTTTAAAACCTGATCCTCAGAGGCTTGCTTCTCTCATTCAGTTACCTCCACCTGATAATGAAAAGTGTATTATTAGTCTTTACAGTGTACTATTGGAATGTTCTTTTACTATGCAAAATGGATAAGAAAGTTTCCAGATAAAATTAGAGCTTTGAACTCTGCTACTCAACTCAAATATCAGCATTTGAAACATTATAAATGAGTTAGTTCAATCTTCCATGCAAACCATTGATGAAAATGTAATTTTACTGTAGAGGCTAATGCTTCTGGTTTTGCCATATTTGCCACACTTAACCAGGATGGAAGGCCTGTTGCTTTTCATTAAGGGGCCCTTCAAGGGAGTGAACAATACTATTCATCAGTGGAGAAAGAAGCTTAAGCGATAGTCAAAGCCATAAATCATTGGCACCATTTTCTTTTGGGTCAACATTTTATTCTCATTACTGATCAACGGTCTATGGCATTTATGCATGATTATAAATCAAGCAGTAAAATAAAGGATAACAAAATAATGCATTAGAGAATCATTATATGCGTTCAGAATCATTATAAGATCTGCATGCTGCACTTTGATATCCTGGCGTAACTAACCTCCATCATTTTATTCAATCAAGAAACCTCCCTTATTCAGTAAAAGATATGAAGCAAATATGTAAAGTTTGTAGAATATGTAAAGAAATAAAACCCAAGTGCATGTCGCCAA